CAATTAGAAGTATTTTTCTCAGTCGGTAATTATGTTACCTTAGCGTCCATTTTGCATAAAGTATATATGTATATTCATATGTAAAATAGCATATAGTACATACACACACACGCGCGCGCGCGCGCGCATAATTATATATATATATATATATAAGAACTTAACTAATTATTGTAGATTAAAAAGGTATAAAAGATGTATATAGCATCTATATTAGTATTTTTTACTATATACTTATGAAAGTTGTGTTTCTAATTATTCTATTTTTATTGAACAACACATTTGTATAGTTTATATATTTCTTATTATTATTTTTATTGCTATAAACTAAAATTTAAAAGATAATAACAAAAATCTAAATGTTTTTGTACATAATAAGTACTTCAAGCCAAAGTATTCAAAATGCGACTTATGCAAAGTTTTATTATGATTCAAATTAGTTACAAAGATATAGAACAAATAAATATTTTATTTATTTACAAGGTAACTAATTTTTGCATCGGAATGTAAACTTTACACAAATCATCTAGAATTCTTATAGTATTTATATTAAAAAATTAAGTTTTTTGTCATTATTTTACAATTTCGATCGATACATTTCTATTAAAACACAAATAAAAAAATCTTACTTCTTGTAATAACCTTTGAATTAAATGATAAATCGCTGTTAATAAATATTTCATCTAACTTTTAAATGCAATCTGAAATAATCTGTAAAACTTTTCATAATTTTTTTGTCATTTTAAAATATGAATAATATATCTTTAATTATTTTAATTACTTTAGTTGATCTAATGATTTAAATATGTATTTTAGTTGATTAGTTTTAATTATTTAAATATGTATTGTATAATAATAATAAAGCATAAATCAATGACTGCATTATACATATAAGTTAAGTATAACTGTTCAAGTTAGTACAATAGAAATTATTCATTATAGATTCGGAATATAAAAGCAGATTATTTAAGGTTTAAAAAGACTCGATTAGAGATTAGAATAAATAAACGATTCTGGAATAATGACTCTTATGTAACATTATCACGATTAGTTTCGTACCATCCTGGCACCAGGAAATCGAACTGTTACATTTATAACACATTTTCCTGCCTATTCCTGTAAATTGATCGATTTAAGAATAGCGTATCTATTCTATCAAGTTTCTTGAAACAGTTATAATTTTTTAAAAAATAGTTGTACATCACAAGAATCTCAAAATACATTTAAAATATAACGATTTAAAAAAATCTTTTTGAAATAAAAAGATGTTCAATTGCACGAGAACAATATTTTCTCAAATACACAAACACATACATACAATCTGTTATAATATTAGGAATTATAATTGCATCGAGTTATAGAAATCATAATTACATCGTTTATGTGTATGCCTCACATATATTCTTATAAATTTAATCTTAAAGTAAAAATGGATAAATGTACATTGTCGGATAGATTAGCATACTTCGGTAAAGACATTACGCTTAAACTGGTTTCCAACACATTTCCTTATCGATGATTCTGCGCCGTAATTTTTTATTCGATAACAAAAGAAAAATACATATCATGAGCAATTACTACATTTTAATAAAATCTTCGTAATTTAAATTTCATCTTATCACAATAATACGATAACGAATAAACAATGATTTATTACTTAAGATTTTTTAAATATAATTATTATTTCACTTAATTAAGTGTATTATTTGACTTAATAATTATATCACTAGTATTCAACTATAACAAAGATCTGTAATTAATCTATTTTCTCACATAATTTATATGTATACATAAGTAAAGTTTAATGATAAAAGTCTAATGATCGAATTTCATAAATGATATAAAAGGTTGTATAAATATGTGTGTGTGTGTTTTATTTATAGTAAATGTTTTTATTCTACAAATGTATTAAAATTTCTAGTGTCCATCAATTCGTGAATAAACATGAGAATATAGCGTTAACGAGAATGTAACGTTATTTTCGTTTATTTTATATTTGATTTGCATATCAAAGATCATCGTTTTTCATCACGCAGACAAGAAATTCTGTATCTAACGTAATAACGTAGACGATTCCGAACTTAATGCGACGACTGTTTATTTATAAACATACATGATAAATTCGACGAATCGAAATTGACTTTCCTCCACATTGATATGGGTTTATTGTATTATTAATAATGTATTGTAACGTAAATACAACTGAATCCATTCTTTCGCAATTTATATTTATCTAGATTCATTTAGCTGATTTTAAAAACTCACGCCAATTCTTTCATCGGGCAGTTTTACTATTTGCACAGTTCCAACGACAACGTTTATGAAAATTGCGCTGCAAATTAGATTCCGCTTTATCATTTTTAACGGAAATTATGACTTCTCGCTAGCCATCCACGGTGAAATTTATCACACTTGATGGTTCAAAGCTGGTTGGGAAAAACCCGGTCCGGCACTGTTCCCAGTTTCCATAAGCCCGCAGCAGCAGCGGCCTTTAATCCCCACAATCTGATTCCGTCACGGCCAGGCGAGAAGAACGGCCGTAAATATTTTGCTTTGACTGTATTTCTATTTTGCATGACCGCCGTTTGCGAGAACAAAAAATCGTAAAAGCGCTTTCGATTAAATGCACAAGCACGAAGGCAGTAATTTATGAAAAGCAATTTACGAAAAGGTACCGTATACCTAATCACTTCGGAGAAAATCTCATTTAGAATGATTCAAAGTACGACTGACGATACATTTTCTTCCTCAATTACTCAAATACTTAATTTATACAAGTCAATTTTCTATTGTATTTTCTATTATTTATACATAAATATTTTTCTATTGTTCATACATGTATTTGATAGTATATTACAAGATACTATCACACGTCTTGATAAATTAAAAATTTTATTTAATTTTCTATAATATGACCGTTAATTATTGCAATTAATAATTTCTTGTATCTACGCTACTTAAGATATTTATAAGATTTTATCAAGACACATTCTGTGCAGAGTAGAGAAAATTACTGATCTGGTAATTCCATCGATACGCCAACGGCAAAACCGGATTCTGACCGAACCAATTATTTGGTGTAAATGATGAGTCTTTCACCAATAAGAAGATATATTTCATCGTCACAGAACGAAAGAAACAAAATTTCCTCGTTTCTTGGACTAAATAAAGAAATCACATCTTGACCATGAAAACCGAGCGAAGATAAAAATCTGAAGATAAAAGAAATACCACGGAAAAATGAGTTCTAAGAAAATCTTCAGAGGAAAATGTATTAATTTTTCATCGTTCCAGCCGCTGGAGGTCATTAATTATTTGCGTTGTTATATCATAATTACTGTCGCTCACGCAAATTATCGATAGAAATTATAAACGAACTTAATTGCAGCATCTCACATAAAATATATTTATGCAGATAAAGATATATTATTGCAGATAAGCCGAGAAAAATAATATATTTATCAAACTACAAGTCTATAACGTATAATCTATAAGGAAAAACTTGTGAAATATATCATTCTTGAAATTTTTGCATCCTTTTTGGGATCCTATTTTATCGTAACAATTGAGAATCTTTATTGAAAAGTTACGCATAAAAATTTAGCGGACACGCTATAAATTTTTATCTTCCATACTTTTTTTCAGTACGCGCATGATAAAGATTATATTGCCATGAACTGTCGACCAATGTAATAATTTTTGCAATCTGCTCTTGTTTTCATATGTTGTTTATCTTTCAAACATTAACGAGAAATGACGTGCTCCATCAGGATACTAAAAATGTGCTAGCATTACAAAAATCAATGATTTCCAAAGGTCTTCGTAGGATTACGGCACCGTTTGAGATAAAATTCCTTAATGAATATTTTTCGTATAATCGCATCAAAGTCATTTTTGCTTTCTATCACTGTTTTAGGGAATTCATATGAATAAACAACTCGTATCTCTTTTCTTACGAACAATATCTGCGGATTCGTGATGACGAAAACGTGGATTTATCAGCTTAGTTAAATGCTTCAACATTTTGTTAAAACCGCAAAAGCCACGATAAATATGAACGTAAATGTAATGTGCTGACGAAGCTGGAAAAGTATGAAATTCATTGTCATTGCTGACATTGCAATTTCACGGTTTGCTATTCAGAAAATTAGATATAGTCATTCCAAGATTGTCATAATCTTTCGAATGCATACCTAAGAAATGAGTCTATCCTCTTATTTGTTCTCGGTTATTATTGTTATTAATTAACTATTAGAAGAATAACATCGTCATTAAACTTTTGTCAAACACATATATTTGCTATTTTCTATACAAGTGTTTGACATTATCAACGATTAAATGTACATAATTTTTCTATATATAATATAAGATTTCTCTTATTATATAAATCCAATTAATTTTCATTTATCATAAATTAAAAATTATATTTAATTATTAAGAATATAATTTTGATTAATACCAGAAGAAAAGAATGTAATCGAAGAATGTTAATTAATGCTTTTACTTAATTATCACACATTAAAAATAATTTATGAGTTTACGTATCAATTAATAATATAAAAATGTCACATATTTTTTCTGCATTCAGATATTCCATAAATATCTAAGTACAAATTTAAATTTATATAAAGGATTCACTGGAATTTACGCGCATGAATGAACCGGAATTAAAAGGATGACTGACAACATAACTTTATCGTCGTGATAAATTGCAAGTATATTTTCTTTGCAAAACTTGATTCGCAAACGCGCTTTCAGCAAATACTTTCTTATCTTAGCAGCGATTTGTATACATCACTTCGGGAAGAGTTTTGAAGAAGATTTTTGCGTCCACCAAGATATTGCAAACTCGACAACCGGGGGAAGTTACAGTCAAGTTTCCCACAGACGCATGACTCGTTGACTTCGTAGTGGGGATCATTAGAGTGAAGCCGAGCGATTTATATAGAAGGAATGCTTGCTACATTGGCACTTCAGTTTCGAACGGTGAATCGCACAATCATTAAATCTCCTGGTCCCGTTGGATACCGTTGATGAAATTCTCGTGTATTTATTGAGTTCACTAAACGCCTCGATAATCATGGTAAATAGATTTGATTGTTTCTTAATCTACTTAATTAATACTCTTGTATTATATAAGCTGCATTTATTATTAATATTAATACTAATTTAGAAGAGACATTATTTGACGTTTGTATTTACATTTTATAGTTTGCAATATTTATATTGATTAATTGTACAAATCTTCATTTTATGATGAGTTGTATTTCAATATATCAATGTTAGCTACGAGAGCAAGTCAATAAGTTTTTAGAAAAACATAGTAAAACACATTTTTTTTGATCGATTCATTTTTATTTCTCAACATAGTTTCCTTTCAGCTCGATACACTTGATCCAACTTGATATACATTCTCCAACTTTTTCAAGCCGTCCGAATAATCGTTGAATAATTTGTCCAACTCTTCAAAATAAGTCTCTGTTTCGGCGATGAGCTGCTCTCTGATGGTGAATCTCTTTCCTCCGAACTATTTCTTCAGGTTTGGAAACAGGAAATAGTCACAGGGAGCTAAATTTGGCGAATATGCTGGATAGGGAAGCAATTCGTAGCGGAATTCGTTGAATTTGGCCATCGGTGCCGGGCACGTGTGAACCCATGCATTGTCTTGATGGAAGAGCACTTTCTTCTTCGCCAAATGGGGAAGAAGAAAATACTTTTTAAAATGTTGCTGAAACATTTTTTCTTTAAAATGTTGAAACGGTCCAATAAGGTTGCGTAGTAATCGTCATTGATCATTTGCTTCGACGCAAGATAATCGATATAAATTATACCGCGTGCATCCCAAAAAACTGTGGCCATCACTCGGCCGACTTCACGGTCTTCGCTTTCTTTGGAACTGATTCACTCGGTGAAATCCATTGTTTTAACTGTCCTTCGTCTCGGGTGTGAATTAATGGATTCATATTTCGTCCACAGTGATAAATTGACACAGAAATTCATCTGGATTACGTTGAAACATCTCCAAACATTGTTTTGAAATCGTCACACGATCGCGCTTATAGTCCACAGTGAGCAAACGCGGCATCCATCTTGCCGATAGCTTTTTCATACCCAATTGTTCGTGCAAAATTGAAATCACTGTGCCATGTGATATGCCTGTGGTCTCAACAAGCTCGCGCACTTTCACTCGTCGATCAGTCAAAACAATATCGTGGACTTTATCGATGATTTCTGGCATAGCAACCTCAATTGGACGTCCCGAACGGAGCATCACATGTGGATCGACTACGTTTAAATTCATTCACCCAATTGTATACAGTCGCAAACGCTGGTGCAAATGTGTTATGAATATTATCCAACTCGACTTTGATTTCTTTCAGCGTTAAGCCTTTCATATGTAGATGTTTGATCACTGCACGAAACTCGTTTTTTTCCATTTTGCAAAAAAATACAAAGGTTGTTCGCTTTAATCGTCTACAGAAATGAAACCACCCGATGAATTCCGCTCAAAATTTGACAATAATCAGCTGAAAACTGCTACTTGTCAAAAAGTAATGTGACATGACACTGTGAGTGCCCTCTGACAGATTTTCTAAGAACTTATTGACTTGTCTTCGTAATGATAATATATAATAACAACTAATTCAAGGCTACTGAGAGTCAGCTCAAGAGGAAATACGCGATAATTATGTAATGGAAAATATAAAATGATTACACCTTAGATGTACGGGTGTCTTCTTTATTTAAAATTCTTGAACGTTTCGACTCCCTTTAGAATCTTCAGTATTTTCAATTCTCTTATACTACAATATATTGGTTTGTCTATTGAAGAAAAGTCACTCACAAGTTATCAAATTTACAGTGGCTTTTCAATACACGCCAACTTGATTATAAAGTTTTGGAATTTCGCAAATTTAATGCTTAACAGTAGAATGGAATTTACATGCCATTTTTATATAATAATATTATTATTAATGCTAAACCCAATATTGTATAAGAAAATTGAAAATGCTGAAAAGGGCTCCAAAATGAATCGATACATACAAGAACTTTAAATAAAGAAGACACCACTATGTTTAAGTGTAATCATTTTATATTTGACATTACAATAATTGTGCATCACTTTCCAAGCTGACTCTCAGGAACCTTGAATTAGTTGTCATTGTTATTTTAAAGAGAGAGAGTAAAGAGTTCTAGCTAAACATATTTATTCATAATATTTAATCTTCCCAAATAACTTAAATTTGTTAAATGATAGAGAAACGAAATTCTTAGCATTTTTAAAACAATATATCTTTATCCATTTAAATTGAAATTATTCTCTATTACAGTTGAAATATATTATACTCTTCGCTACTGTGTTCTACATGGTGCAGTCACAACGACCATGGCATGCTGGTACCGGTAATCGTTTGCCTCAGGTTCTACCTCAATATATTGACGAGCGAATAGCGGCAGAACAAGCAATTCAAGCAAGTCAAGCAGTTCAAGGAAATCAAATAAACCCAGCGGGTCAAGGAACTCAAGGAATTCCAGTGGGTCAAGGGGTTCAAGGAATTCCAGTGGGCCAAGGAGTTCAGGGAGTCCCAGTGGGCCAAGAAGCTCAAGGAATTCCAGCAGGTCAAGGAACACAAGGAATTCCAGTGGGCCAAGGGACCCAGGGAATCCCATTGGGCCAAGGGGCTCAAGGAGTCCCAGTGGGTCAAGGGACTCAAGGAATTCCAATAGGTCAAGGAGCTCAAGGAATTCCAGTAGGCCAAGGAATTCAAGAAATTCCAGTGCGTCAAGGATCTCAAGGAATTCCAACGTATCAAGGAGCTCAAGGAACGTATCAAGGAGCTCAAGGAACGTATCAAGGAACTCACAGTAGTACCGTTAACACGCTGCTTGGAAATCGAATAGGTGAAGACAGTGGCTTTGCAACTGCAGCTACACCGCCCCTAAGCACAACTATAAATCCAGCTGATTTACCAGTCGATGCTCACGGCGACATTGACTTGATAAATAGGATCAAGACCTGGCCGAGAGACAAACAACCTTTTTGGTACATTAACTGGCAGGCGATTCAAGCCCATCGTGGCGACGTAAACAACACCGCCCAGCCAGCCCAAACGCAACCGAATTCAAGATCGTTTTTCGCGGGTTAAGACGTCGAATGAATTGTAAATCGAACAACCAACAAGACTGTAAATTTAAGCATTTGTTTCTAATAATAGAATAAGGACTCAATCGTCGATATATATTTATGACCGTATGACGACAGCGGTTATTCCTAGTCAAAACCGTCTCTTTGAAAAAATATACGATTTCATGTTTCGAAGAGTCATCAATCAGGATTACTACATCGATCCGAGCCCTCAAGGATAGAGGATTCGGAGGCGATCGAAACAAATGTCACGTGATTGTGCGAATCACATGACTTGCCTTCATAATAGAATTAGTGATCAAATTTTTATATGAAAAAACAGAAATGACGATATTATGTGAAAGTTTAACCACAAAATAAATTTTAGTACTTCCAAAACAAAAAATTATTATAAACTTTTATTTCAAAATGTTCAAACTGCAAAAAAATCGAAATATATTTAATAACCCAACGATTGTGTTATCATTGTAATATCTTTACATCATGCTGTAATCTTTCTGCAGCCAAACTTTCTACTGAATCATTCTCTATATTCTCTAATACTGCAGCGCGCTATGAATCAGTATAATGACTTTTCGTAAGGAAAAGACTTACAATTAAAATTGCCGATATCTTCTTTAATCCTATTGAAAATATTAACGAATACCTATATAATTTACGGTATTATTAATCGTTTTATGAAGAAAATGTTGAACAACGCGCGATTTGCATTCAACAGAAATTTATCAATGAAGTCATGTATGTGAATGACACCGGAGCGCAACGCGCGACACGATCCACGATCCACCTGCCACGGAGAATAGTCGGCGCAACGTCGCGCGTCGTTTACGTCGTACGCGACTCGACTCGTCGCGATTGGCTGGTCGTTCTGCGCACGTTGTCATGCTCACGAAGGCCGTGACGTCAGAGTACCATCGGCCAATGCCGTCTCGCAGATCCGCAGTGTTGGTCGGTGTGAGAGCGTGCATGCGATACGCGAGAGTGTGTGCGTGCATTCGATGGGTACGCGAGAAACCACGCGGAACGGTGGAAACGCGAGGACGACCTGGACGACGGAGCCAGCATCTTGACTCGCGTGACGACGCGTCGCGAAACGGCGTCAGACGCGGCGATATGTTAGTCGAGATATAATCGTTTGAAAGGGGCAATTGGTCGCGCGCGTGCTACGCGTACTTGCAATTAGTGGAATCGGTGGTTAGGAGGAAAGAGGAGAGGAGATAGGGGAACTGTGGAAAAGAGTAAGAGCGAGAGCGAGCCAGAGCCAGAGTCGAGTAGTAGTGGTGGTGGTGGAGAAGGAAGAGGAGGAGGGGAGGAGAAGGCAAATGCGTCTGGCCGTGGCGCGAGGCGCGACACACACTTACACGCGCGACTGACGCGACGAGAGCGACGGAGATCGCGGGGGTGAGGGAGAGTAGATATAGCGTGGAGTATAGTATCGCGCCGCACCTGACAGTCCACGCGGCCCGGCCCCCGAAAAACATTCTCGCCACGCTATATACACGCGAGAACCGCGCCGTGTTTCACTCGGAACGCGAGCGCCATTGGCAATGTCGGGAAGTGACAGCCCAACATTCTTTCACGGCCAGCCCTGGTCTAGCTGGATCGAAAGAATCGGACGGGACAAGCCGCTGAGTAAGTGCGCTCAATCTGCCCATCGCGACGCCGCAGCCGCACGCCCGCGGCCGCAACCGCAGCCGCGACGGCGACGGGCGTCGGAGGCGCGCGTACCTAACCTCACTTCGACGCTCCTTTGTCCGGTAGCGGGTAGCGGGTAGCGCTGACGCGCGCGCGCGCGCGCATCTCATTGCAGGGGCTATGTCGAAGGGGGTGTTGTGTGTTATGTATCATCTATCAACATTCAACGGCACGGGGGTACGATAACACGTTGCCAATTTTATCGTGTGCTTCTTGTGCGCCCCCGTCGCCACCAAGTTCTCACAATGATTTTCAGGACACTGACAATTATGTAATTCAAGCGAGCGTCGATCATTTCACTAAAATTAAACGATCGGCAGATCGTTTGTTAATCGATTGATGATATTTCTGAGATACATTGTTATTGAAAGAAAGAGAAAGCGTTAATCACGCGACATACATTTTCCTTCCGTAGATTTCATCCTCTTGAATTTTGTATTACAGCTGTTATTATGCATGTATGCTAGATGTAAATAAAAAGAATAAAGTTGACTTGTCTATAAAGTTCTGTGTTCTTTATTTCATATTTACATTTGAAAACTCAATATAATACTTGCTGAGGAAATTTTGAATATTTTTATTAGTTATGTAGAGAATCTTTTATTCTTTTAATAATATAGTGTAGATGTATAATGCATCTTTCGTATAAATAATACTTTAATAATATTTTTGAGTGTAGCTGTAGGATAAACTTTAATGTAAATAATATTTTGGACACGTAAAACATTATCAAACATAAACCTCCTATGGATATATTTGTGATTTATTAAAAAATAATACTATATGTATAGACATATAGTTAAAATATTTCATGTTTTATTAAATAATATACATAAAATAAAAATTGTTTTTTTTCTGAGATAAATATCTTATTGATTGATATAAGATACTGTTATGAATAACATATTGTTCTGTGTTTCAGACGATGAAGAAACAGAAGTCCAAGCATCAAACTCAGTCACACGTCTTTCTTCAGATGGTAATTTTTTCAATATATATTAAAATAATAATACATATATAATTATGTAGATTGTTACTTTTTTCTTTCTCTTTCTCACATATTTACCATAACTAATTTAATGAAATTTTTCAGATATCGATTTGTATGGCTTTTGTCCAGAGAGGGATGATTTCTATGGAGTAGTATGTGAAATATGCGATGCCATAGTGAAACCGCAAGCTCTCATTCAACATATAGGTATATATTCATTTTATTAATTATTATACTATAGTGTAACAAGTATAATCAAATTGCTTTATGTTTAACGTAATTTATTAGTATATAAACAAAAATGCAGATTTATTAACATGATATAATTAGAAATTTCAATTATTTATAAAATGCAGGGCTAAACATAAAGCAAGTTTATTTCTGATTTTGTTATTTAATTAATTATAATCCAAAATTATATCTGGAGGACTTAATAGTACATAATTCAAAACGCAAAATTTTTGTGTATTTTTAAAGTGAGCAATTACTTATCAATGTATATATGTATTTGAAAATTTTATTTAATATATTTAAGTCAAAGTTATTGAATTTTAACTTAAAGAAATATTTTTATTATATATTATAAAAGATATATGTACACAATGATTCCATTCGCAGCTATAAGATTCAGATAAATTGTCAAAATATTTGCAACTCATTAGCATTTTGTATACGTATATTGCAGGTATTAAACATGTAAACACATCTTCTATTTTGCCACAGAGTGTCGCCATTCCGGCATGGCAAATTTTCCACCACCCACGACCCCAGTTACAAAACCGTCCATAAAAACTCCCTTCTGCAAGGTCTCCAAGCTGAAGAGAAACACTCAACCATCAGTTCCTTCAGTTTCTGCTTCAATTCCTATCGTTGGTAGCGCGAAGCTGAACCACACGACCGTTAAGCGTACTGCGGATCAGGCGAACTTGTCTGCAGGTAGCTCTCTGCCGATCTCCTCGTCACCCCGATCGCCTCTTGAATCGATCACAGTACAAACTACCTCTTCTAACATAGCCGGTTCTTCGAATATTATCAGTGCATCTACAAATAGTGGAGGGAGTCCTAGCAAAAGCCCTGGTCCCAGCAGTAATAGTAGTAGCAATCAGCCTCGTCGGAAGAGGCTTAAAACGGATCGCTCGTTGCTTAAAGATCGCGAGTATGATCCGGATCGGCACTGCGGTGTGTTGAACGAGGAGACCGGCAAGCCTTGCACCAGGTCACTCACATGCAAAGCGCACACTGTCTCGCTGCGCCGAACGGTCGTCGGTCGCAGCAAGACCTTCGACAAGCTCCTCGCGGAACATCGTGCC